GGGGGGGGGGGGGTGAAAAAGGAAAAGGGGGGCCAAAAGGGGGGGGGGGGGGGGCAGAGGAGACGGGAGATCCCCAGAGCAGGCCTTGGAACACACTGGGCAGCCGCGCGTGTTGTGTTTGAGCACGGAATTTATTCCCGCTTGCTGCAGCACTCGTAGCGTGCGCTCGAAGAGCCTCTGCCCCGCTGCGTCTGTGGCACAGGGAGCCTGTCATTGGGAAGAGCTGGTTTAATGCTGAGCTGCTTGGGGACAAGTCAAAAAAAAAGGGCGCCATTAGGCAGCTGCCGCAAGAAACGCGATGAGTAAAGTCCTACTCTATGGCTGCAGAACCGCTCAGCAGGACCTGTAAAACCAGGGAGGCTTCCGAAGTGCTGTGCGTTGCTTCGCAGGCCGCTTTGGTCACGCCTCGACGTCCAGCGGCAGACGGTGATCCAGGAGATGAGGGTTTAACGCAAAGCTTCAAGTAAAGCTTAACACTTCTGCGTCTGCCGCTTGTGAAGGCGGGTTGGGTGGCGGGCTTCTGCCCTTCTTCCCGTCAGCCAGGGGCTTGAAATGCTGCGGGGGGGGGAAAGAACGCGTTAGTGCAAAGATTCGACTCTCGTCAGTCGGTGTACACACGTGCACCTGAAAAATCCAAGCCACTTCTGCGCCGTGTGAGCTGGGCGCTCGGCAGTCGCCCCGACTTGGGTGGGAAAAGCATTCTGGGCTTACGCTGGACTGTTAACCGCCGTGGCAGCCCAGCCCTGCGGCACATCAGAGGCTCCTTGTGTAAAGGTGAGGTACGAGGGAACCGAGAAGCTTACAAAACGTTCTTTGGAGCCCTTTATCGTGGCCTACCAGCCCTTTACAAACACCCACGGCAACGTAAGGAGAGCGGCTTTGCAACGCTTCCAGCTGGGTGAGCGGTGCCTGCCTGGAGTCGCTCACCTGCGAGTTCTTGAACTCCGAGTAGAGGGAGAAGAGGACGTGCAGAGGCTGGATCCGACTCTTGTACACGGGGATGTCCAGAATGGCTACGAGCGAGAGCAGAAGTGCCTGAGCGCCTCTGGGCCGCACCGCCCTGCACAGGGTGCCGTAAGTGAAGGCTGAGCGGCCCACTGCCCCCGATTACTTGGGCCTTCGCTCGGCAAAGACCGCAGGCGCCTGCGGTACAAGAGCCTGCTTCCTACCGAAGGCGGCGGAGAACGATCTGGACTGCTCGGGGCTGAGCCTGCACCTAGAGCCCCCTGCTTTAAGTGAGACGGTGCCAGGCCAGCAGCACACTTGCGTCTCCAGCACAGTCTCCCGCGCTTACCACATATCATGTCGATGTATTCGGCCAGGTCACAGCTCATCTCCGCGGTCGGGAGGCCCACCTGGAACAGACCGGGCTGTGGGCTCTGCTCCCGTACGGCGGGAGCCCACGCTGACCTCAGGCCGAGCACAGAGGCCGCCGGGGCAGCAGCCGGGAATTCCGGCGTTAGGCTGCTCCCCCGTCTTCCGGCAAGGGAGAAACGGTAAGTAGGAACAAAGCTGAACGGGCCGGGCTGCGGGCAAAGAGCTCAGAAGGGAACAGGAACCCAGCTTTCACGGAAGATGGTTTCTAACACCACGCACTGAGCTAGCTGCTTATTGCTCGGACACCGTACCTTTCCCAAGAGCTCCTCAAATTCCGGTGACCATTCCTGCATGAGGGTCTCGATGTCGGGCATTGGCCTGCCAGGGAGGAAAAGAACGCGAACGTCAGGACCGCACGCAACAGAAATGGTTCCCTACTGCCAGACTGCTGCAAACGGGACAGCCTCCGTTCTAACCAGCTGAGAGTGAGCTGCCGATCTGCCGAGGGTCAACGTGGGCGTTTTTATTCATCAAAACAAGCCTCGGCTCGCCAAGTCGCACGGTCCGTGTGCTAGCTGTTAAACTAATTCAAGTCACGTAGGGA